TGTGACTGGAGCACAGGAAAGAAAATAATGTAATAACTTGAAAAATGTGTTCAAAATCACATTTGAACACCCAGTAGTCCCGAAAGTTGTTGCTAAATTCATGGAACACCCTGCATATTAATTTGTATTATTCAACTGTTCCTAGAAGAGTTCTAAGAGAATTTTCATCAGGATGAGTGACACTGTATAATAGTACCTACACTAAGCATATTGAGAAAATAGATCAGTAACATATAGGCACGGACTATTTATTCGCCCAGATCCTTACCAGTGGCTTAAAAAAATCTTGTCGAGGCTGTAAAATGCCAAATCCAAAATGCTTGAGAAAACTTAAAATTATTCACATCTAATTTAATTCCAGAAAAATTACATTGTTGCCAACCTAGTAAGGTTTTAGGTGTCTGTTGCACTCATTGAATAAGGAAATTGGCTCCTGGTTTTGAAATAATAGAGCCCAGTTCTGAAAAACAGCACCTCCGTTAGCTCACCTGAAGCTGAGAGTTTAAAAAATAGCTTACTGGTAGCTGCTTTCTTGGCCCATGTAAACCTCCGTGTCCTGCAAACAGCGACTGGACAGAGCGTCCTCCAATGCCTGGCACCGTTTGCTTTTGAACGCGCGGGGATTTCTGATGGACTCCGCAAACAGTTGAAAAGACCTTCCGTGGTTGCACAAAATGCTGTTGGTGAGTTGCACTGCACAAAAAAAATCCTGAGCAACGTCCTGCAAACGGCGCTAAAAATCTACTTGCAACTGGTCAAATCTGGACAGCCTGGCTGATATTTGCCGCCGTTGGGATAGAAGTCCACGTGTCCGCTAGGCCTGGCCGTTCCAATGACTTTCATGAAAGTGTGAACGACATCAACCAGCATCGCGTCCTGCGGGTCCAGCTTCAGCTCCTCTTTGATGTCCCCATATCCTGGTCCAGCTGGATCTAAGCCTACGGATGCTTTAAATCTTGTCGCAAGCGATCCAGCTTCGAGCCTACCGGTGATCCTAGCAACTCGGCCATCCTGGACAACGTCAGCGCCGATCCCAGCTACATGCGCCCCTAAGCTGTGTCCAATAATGTGAATGTCGCTTAAGTTCACCCCGTTGGAGGTCAGCCAGTTGAGGAAATCCCCGAGCTGTTTGCCGGCTATTTTAGCTCCATGCATAGCTGAGGCGTACTCCACATGGCATAATGCTGACCAGTCCATGCCAATCACGTTGTAGGCGCCTGTTTCCAGAAAAGCTGGAATGATCAAACAACATTTTTACAATATGCAGAACACTCTTCCCTCAAAATGCTGGAAGTTTCCTTGAAATCGCCCTGAACCCTATATTTTTTCGGCCCAATAAACTTTGAGTTTAAAATAGAAACTGTTACACAATTGCGCTCGCGCTTTCAAAAATTCGCATTTTCCAAACCACCGCAGCAGCCACTGGAAATTTCCTCCATGTTCAAGCGATGCTTGATTCTAAACACGTAGAAAGTTTCATTAAAATCGCAATATAAGCGCATCTAGAAGGCATTGCTTATAAAAAGCTCTTACTCAATTGCGCTCTCGCTTTAAAAAAATTGTTGTTTCTAAACTAAGGCAACACGAAATTTTGGTTTTGTGTACGCTTAGACACAATATACCCAAATCTTTTCAGGTCAAAAACTTTGGCCTGCTCGATCGCCGGATTTAAATTCCCTAGATTTTTGCATTTGGGGCTTCTTGAGTCATGAGTATAATCCACTCCCGTTGAAAATGTTCATGGCCTGAGCGGCCAAATATTTGCGCGAATACGGCAATCAATGAGGCGAAGAGTTGAATCTTGCGCCAGGTCTGAGGGAGGTCATTTTGAACAGTTGTAGCTTTGCGCCTATTGAAAATGTGATTTTTTTGTTATTGTTCTACAAAAGTGTGTCATGCAGAAACGCCTCATTGACGAAATGATCACTCACCATTTTTGATCAACATGAAAACGTCGTACTTAATGCTGCTCATGAATCCATGCGTAATAATTTTGGTGGGATTTTCAAAGTTGAAACCGGACTCGTTGAAGCTTCCATTGAATTGTGGATCTAATCCATAGGGGGCATTTTCTCTGGAAAAATTTCGCTATTGAAACATGCATTTCTAATTATTATTATTATCATGCGTTATATTTAAGTTTGGATAAAAGGACGATTTTTTTAAAGTCATCTACAATGTTCAACCAACCTAGTAAACAGTACAAATTGAACCTCAGGACCGTTGGGATTGATCAACTGCTGACTTGAATTAAAATCTGCAGTCGTTAGCGGATATATATCTGCAAATAGAATGGATTAGGAGCAATGAGAAAAACCAACAGAAGTTGAATGAATGCGGTATTTTAGAAAACGTAGATAATAATTCTCCAATGAGTATCAAGGTGAAAAGGAGATAAATTAGAAAAAAACTGTAATTTTTAATAAAAACATTGTTTTCTAAGTTAATTCTAGTTGATCCACTGGTATTAAAATATTGAACTTTATTAACGTTTGGATGATTAAAACATTAGCGAATATGCTGAATGTTATCTCGGCACTTATAGGTTACTATTGCCCCCTATAAACCTTGGCGTTAGTCAGATAGACAATTTATGTTTAAGACAACAAGTCAAGATGTTTGACTGTTCCAAATATCGTCCCTATATTTATTTTGGAATAGTCAATCTTACACAAACCTCCCCTTATTTTTCAACAGTAAATATGAAACTTAATAGTCTTTCCGATAAGAATATTGTAAAATTCGAGACATTTTGAGAAAGATCTCAAATTTGACATTATTTTCCTCGGAAAGAGGCGAGGAGTTCAAGGAGATCTTTAAAAACACAATGGACTCTTCAGACCCGAAATAATCAACATTTTCTGTCCATTTTGAGTCGTTTTTGAGCGGTACCGATTTTCAACCGACGATTTCTTCCCTATTCAGGACTCAAAAACTTGAAATTTGCACATTAAGTAGCTTCTGAGGTCGCAAAGAATCCAGTGAGCGCAAAAAACACGGTTGAAAAATTTTGATTCTTGATCGAAAATTTCATAAGGGGGGAGAAGAGATTTTTTTAAAAAAAATAAAATCTTTGAAAATGTCTTAAATTTTACATCATTTTCATCGGAAAGAGGCGTGGAATGCAAGAAAATCCTTAAAAAACACGCAAACTCTCCAGATCCGAAATAATCAACATTTTCAGTCAATGAGTCACTCAATGGATTGTATAATCAAAATTGGGGGTTGCCATTTCAAAAAATTGGTTTTAGGCGATTTTCTCAACTCCATTTGAAAATTTTTGTTTTACACTGTATTAGACAATAATTATCAAAACTAGTAATATCCGATATAACTGAAAGTGTGACCATCTTGAAAATATTTTAGATCGCTTGGCCCCCATGACCTCGGTATACTGTCCAATTTTCAAAATTCTCCTACTTAAGTTCTCCTTTAAGCTTGGGACACTCTCTGTATAATACAATAAAATATATATTTTCAAGTTCAGATTCAGATTCAGAATTTGTTTGGATTCATTAGAGCAAATTGTGCGTAATAAATTAGGATTTCAGCAAAAATGTTGATTTTTCGATAATTTTGAGCCGCTCATCTGAAGTAGTTTTTCATATTTTAAAGAATACAAGTATTCTAGTATGTGTTCCACATAAAATAAGTCTTCGGTAGTATAGTGGTAAGTATCCCCGCCTGTCACGCGGGAGACCCGGGTTCGATTCCCGGCCGGAGAGGAACTTTTTTTGAAAATTTAATCCAACTGAATTTCGCTAATATATCTTAATACTTTTAAAGGCGAACTGTAACCACAACTTTTCTCAAAAACTTTTGAAAGAGTTTTGTTTTCTTTTCTTTCTTGTTTTGTTTTAACTTTTTTTTACTTTTAAGATTATCTTACTTGAAATGGCAAAATAAGTGCCAGCAGCAACCAACGATAAACCAATAACCGCACCGGTGGCCACATTCATATTACAGCGCAAATTGAACATTAATTCTTTCTCGATTGTCTCCCGATGTACTCATGAACATTGAAGGTTTCGGTCCTAATTGCATTTTTATATTATCCATTCGAGTATTTCCTGAAATTATTATTTTATTATGGCAGCCATCCTTTGTTCAATTGAAATTATTCAAAGCCATTATTTGTGCCTTAATTATACCCAAACCGAATTAAGTCTAAAATTGGAAAGTTGATTATGTTTGTTTTCATTGTTATTTATTCAAAGGGCTTCGCGTGCTCTTTACATATCTTTCCTAATCTATCAGTCAAACCTGTTATTTTTTCGAGAAAACTTCGTCGCTCAAAATGCCTCAAATCATGCAGCATTTGCTCGACTGCTACGAAACTGCGAAAAAACACCGGCGTTAATGTGTTTTGTTAAGACAACCAACTTTGAGCTTTTAATCAAAATTTATGAATATTTAGGAACATTTTAGAACTCGAAACAGTCATTTTCAAGATTTTTCTTCCCCGCAGAACTATTTTCGAATATTCCAAATAGCTAAAATAACAAGCGATATTATTCCGCGTTTAAACAGCAGGAAAAAATGGGCATCAATTGCAATTTTAGTCAAAATTTCTCAATTCTTCAGGGCAGGTGGCTACTTTATCTTATAAAGCTTTCAAGTTCCCATTAGTCCCCAGTTAGAAGTTACGTATTTTTTCGGGAAAGTGCCCTTTTGTAAACAACTGTTCATCTTTAGAGCCACGGTTATACAGCAAAAAAATTTACTGACATTTCTCTGAAAATTTCTCAATTTTCCTACTCATGTACGTATTTGCCTGTATCTGGCCAAAGCTTCAAGCTCGCGCTTTTCCCTCATTAACAGTTAGGAATTTTTCCATGAGAGCGACGATTCGATCATTTATTTCTATACCCATGCTTAAACAGCATAAAAAATCAGCATTTAATGCGCTTTCACTAAAAATTTTCCAGTTTTCGGCCCTTCATCCTCGTACTTGCCCCAGCTTTTGGCTGGAAAAGTTCCCTTTACGCGTTTAAACAGCAGATAAAATCAGCTCTAAAACTATTTCAATAAAAAAATCTTGCCAAACTTTCAAGCTCGAACTTCTCCCAGATTATGAGTTATACATTTTTACAAAAGAGCGCCGTTTTTGGCTGGAACTTTCATTTTAGCCGCGTTTAAACAGATAAGAAATCGGCATTCAGTGCGATTTCTATTCTCAACTTTCAGACCCAAACGAAAACTTTTCAGTTCGTAATTGTCCGAGATTAGTTAAGCTGTAGTAGAGGCTGTAGCCGCTTTTAGGGGCAAAACTAAAATTTTATTTCGAAGAACTCTGCTCTCTAGTGGCTTTTTAGGTGGCCATAACTTGCATCTAAATTGAAATTGAATTGAAAATTGAAAACTCGACTTCGTTATAACAAACAGCGAAATTTGAAAATCAGACATTTATGGGCAACATTAGGCAAACATTCCATGGTTTGCGTCACATTTTGGCTCACTACATCAGTATCGCTAATCAGTTTTCACATAAAATTCAACATGTAATTAAAAAGATGATTTTTGACCTACAAATATTTTTTGCGAAAACTCAAATCCCGTTGAACTCAGCGACTTCATGGCAGAACAATTTGTATCAGCCTTATCCGAAAACAATAAGAACTGAAGCGCTTTGCGATAACTAAATAAGACCCAGCTATTGAGTGGACACTTAAATAAATTGAAGATTTCTAAAGAACACTTGCGATTGTATTCTGATAATCGAAACGATTCAACAATGGGACTTTGTCATCGTTATAAGACAAAAGTTGCAAAAATTTACGCGGTTCAAACTTAATTTAGGCCCGGTTGTACAATGGAAGCTTAAGCTTGGGTTCAACTTAAGCTTCGCTCAAATTGAACTAGATTTAAGTTAAGGGCGAATGATCAGTTTGCGATTAGGTTTATTTTGAGCTCTGCTAACTCATGCTTAACCTTCCATTGTACAACCAAGCTTTAAATTGGACATAAAATACCCATCAGAAAGCAATAATTATTGAAGCTTTGGATTAAGGAACTCTGCGCAATATTTCCCAACTATTAAAATGACTAGCAGGAATATTTTCATAATAATCATTATGAAGCGTATCAAAACACGGATAGGGATTAGATAGCTAATTATTTTAGTAGCTGATAAAGGTAGAAATGATTAGTGACATTCAGAAAAGTGTTGTTCTTTTTATCGAAAATCAGTCAGTACTTATCAAAATCTCAATAGATGAGCGTGGTGGTGTTTGTTGAGTGAAACGTAGTGCATTTGCAAGATGAATTAGTGAATAAAGTGCGGGTTTTTCCGACATAGCGAAGTAAATTTGCTGACTTAGGTGAGGCTTTTCTAACGCCAGTTAAACCATCGAAAATTTTGGAATTTAAAAATTAACGAGCTTCAATTTTTTGGAAACGTATTTTTAAATCAATCAGCGCACAACAGTACGAAAACTGGCGATTTCCAATCCGTAAATTCGCTTAATTACTGACGTTATCTAATGATAAACGCTCTTGTAATTCCTGCAGCCTCATTGATGAAAATCGCAATCTTGGACAACAACCGAAATTAGTTGATTTTCCAGATTCATTATGGCAGCGAAAAAGACAGATGGGGACCAGGATGGTAAAGCCGCAGACAAGAAGCAGGCCTTAGATGTGTAAGTCCCTGAACGTTCTGAAACATAAACATTCTGATATCGCGAACTTTCCAGAAAGTTCCAATCAATAGATGATCCAGCCGATCCGGATGAGGCCGTCGACGCATCTTCATTTACTGGATTGGTTAGTGCTCAGAACTCTTCGGGCTTTACAAAAATAATCCTGTGGGTTTTTCAGTACAGATTTGCCACTCAACCACAAAAATACGTGATAGTAATTGGGGCTATCATAGCTCTGATTTCCGGCGCCCTCCAGCCGCTCAACAACTTGCTGTTTGGGGATCTCACTCAAACCATCATCGAGTACAGCCAGGCGTGTTTTATCCCAAGTTCCACTGAATGCGGGGCCGCAGGCGACAATCTCTTAGCAGGAATTAAACACTTTGCCTTATGGAACTCACTAAACGGTGTCGCTATTATGATCACTGCCTATCTGGCCACTGAGGCTTTCAGCTACAACGCCATTAAACAAGTGGGTTTTTGCGGGGTGTAAAGTTTCCTGGGGCTAAACTTCATGGGCTCATTTTTCAGGTCTTCAAAGTGAGGTCGCTCTATCTGCAAAGGCTGCTCAACAAGGACATTCCCTGGTTCGATGTGCACAATTCCGGAGACTTTTCCAGTCGAATGGCTGAGTAAGCAACAAATACCAAAGCTTCCATTGTTACCTAAACCCTAAACTTTCAGCGACTTGTCCAAGTTTGAGGATGGCATTGGGGAAAAAGTGCCGCTCTTCTTAACCCTTCAAGGGTCGTTCATTTCCGCCATCACTCTAGCTTTGGTCAAAGGATGGGAGCTGGCTCTAATTTGCCTCATTTCCCTGCCAGTTTCTCTGATTGCTGTTGGCCTGATCGCTTTCGTAAGTCCTCTATTTTCTCTCGGGGCAGTTATTTAACTCAAAAGAGATACTTTCGAGGCCATTCCTTGAAACTAAGGGGTTTTTAGGCCGTCGTTCGGTAGAAATTCTTGTTGACGTTCTTCCGCAGAACTGAACGGGTTCTGATGAGAACAGTGTAAGCGTTCAAGCAAACCACTTCTGAAGATGCAAGCCACTCGTGCTTGCGAAAC